AAAAAAAAAAAAAAAAAAAAAAAAAATTGGCACAAAGAAAAAAAGCACTTAAATTAAGTAATTTAAGAGCATACAGTTTATGCTATTTTTATACTATATTTAAGAAATATAGGGACAACTACAGTGGCTCACGTCTGTAATCCCTGAACCTTGGGAGGCCAATGCAGGAGAATTGTTTGAAGTCAGTTTGATACCAGCCTGGGCAACAAAGTAAGATCTCATCTCTACAACAACAATAAAAATAGCTGAGTGTCTCTATTAAAATATAGATAGATAGACAGAATAAAATAAAATAAAATAAAAAGAAAATCATTCTGCAAACTGAATTCATCATATTACTTTACTTTGTATGATTCTTTGAAAACCCTGCACCTGGCCGGGCGTGGTGGCTCACGCCTGTAATCCCAGCACTTTGGGAGGCCGAGGCTGGCGGATCACGGGGTCAGGAGATCAAGACTATCCTGGCTAACACAGTGAAACCCCGTCTCTACTAAAAACATACAAAAAACTAGCTGGGCGGAGTGGCGGGCGCCTGTAGTCCCAGCTACTCGGGAGGCTGAGGCAGGTTGGGGCGGGTGGGCAGTCAGTGTGGTTGCCAGGAAGCGGGAAAGGGCCACAATGGGGTCTGGGAGGTGGGCGGGGCGGAGCGGGGGTGTCCAGCCACGTCGCTTTGTTTTCCCATAACAGGAGCCACAACAGGTCAGTGCACCTCGGGGCCTCCCCTCGGGGCACCGGGTCCCCCACACCAGGCCCTCCCCGGGGCACCCTTTCCCAACACCACGAAAATCTCCTGCCCCCACCCCGCCCCCAGGTGATTCCCTTCACCAAGTCTGGGTCTAAACTTGGCCCCCGCGAGCTCACGTCCCTACCTAACCCGCCTGGAGTCCGGGTGATGGTCCTGGACCCGCTGCCGGCCCCACGCCACACACAGCCGGGCAGGAAGCTCGCGTTTGTTTTGCTGGCGCCAGGGATACGGACCAGGCCCCGCCCCGCCGCGCGCTAATCCCAGGGTAGTGGGAAAGTGCGCTCCCCAAGAATTTGGGGTGGAGCGGCCGCGGCCACCGCCTTCTGTCCGCAGGTGCTGCGAGCCGTAAGCGCCCCCCACCCGCGCTATGGGCTCGGACGCCTGGGTGGGCGTTTGGCGGCCACACCGGCCCCGCGGCCCCATCGCAGCGCACTACGGAGGCCCCGGGCCCAAATACAAGCTGCCGCCCAACACCGGTAGCAGGGGCGGGCCCCGGGATTGAGGGGTGGGACGGTGCCTGGGGGAGGGAAGGGGAAGAGACCAGGGAGGTCTGCGCTCGGGGCTGAACCGAGCCTGGTAGAGGGAGAGGGGGTCTGTGCCGGGGGAGGGTCCGTGTTCCAGACGGGGGTGGGGGCTGGGCCCGGCCAGGCGCTGACTCGGATGCTCCCAGGCTACGTCCTGCATGACCCGTCGCGGCCCCGCGCCCCCGCCTTCACCTTCGGCGCGCGCCTCCCCACGCAGCAGACGACGTGCGGCCCCGGGCCCGGCCACCTGGTGCCCGCCCGCATGACCGTGCGCGGCCCCGACGGCGCCCCCGCCTACTCCATCTACGGCCGCCCGCGCCGCTCAGCGCCCTTCCTCACTCCCGGACCTGGTCAGGACCCCCGGGACCCTGGCCACCCAACGCCGAACTGCCTCCAGGGAGGCCCACCTGGGAACCCCCCACCTGAACCCCGAGTCCCAGTCAGATACCCTAACACCGCATAGTCGGAACCTTCATATCTGGGTCTCAAATCCCAAACCCCGAACCCCACGGGGCTTTGACAAATCGTGGCTCAGATTACCCCCTAGTCCCAGGACCCCATCTCGGGTACCCACCAGGCCCCCACCCAGTTCCAGACCCCCACACCCTTGATCCGCCCCGCAGGCAGGTACTTCCCGGAGCGAGCGGGGAACGCGACGTACCCCAGTGCGCCTCGGCACAGCATTGCTCCCCGAAACTGGGGTGTCCAGGCGGAGCAGCAGAGCCCAGGTGAGGGCAGAAAGGCCTATCCCAGCACTGTGGGCCTTCCCACTCCAAACCGGGGACCACCCTGCGCCTGTCCACGGAGACCCACTACCCCCGAGCCCTGCCTCCTCCCCAGGTCCCGGGGCCTATACTGTGCCCTCGCTCTTGGGTCCACGCGTCATCGGCAAAGTCTCCGCCCCAACTTACTCCATCTACGGCCGCAGAGCGGCGGGCAGTTTCTTCGAGGACCTCAGCAAGGTGGGGGAGGGGCCGGGGCGGACGCAGGGGTCCCTGGTCCGCGGCAGCGGAGGCGGCAGTCAGCACCCTCTGCCCTCCCGCAGACCCCAGGCCCATGCGCCTACCACGTCGTGAGCCCGGGGGTCTACAAGTCCCGGGCCCCCCAGTTCACCATGCTGGCGCGGACTTCGCTCCCCCAAGACAACACTCAGAAGCCAGGGCCCGCGGCCTACAACGTGGATCAGGTGGCCTGGAGTCCAGGGTCAAGGGTCAGAGTCAGGGGAGTGGGGAGGGCCTGAGGTCGGAGTGATGGGATCAGGGTCCCCGGGGGTCCAGGGGTCCCGGCGCGGAGAGGACGCC